TGTATCTTGTTTCCTTGAAGACAAAGCAGTTCTTTCTTTATTTTTTAATTTTTATTTTATTAGTTTTTTATAGAGACAAGATCTCACTCTGTTGCCCAGGCTGGTCTCAAACTTCTGGGTTCAACCAATCTTCCTGCCTCAGCCTCTCAAAGGGCAAAAATTATAGGCGTAAGCCACCATGCCGGGCTGAAACAGCAACTCTTGACAGCCACCTGATTCAACAAAGTACCAGGGCTGTGTTGGGCACTTAGATGCCCCTGTTCTCAAGAGTTTCACAGTCAATGATAATAAAGAGGCAGATAAACAAAACAACATCTCATACCTCCCCCCGCACACACACACACAAAAAACAGTTCGGAATTTTGCAATCAAAAAATGAATGAGACCATTTCCACATCATGTATATAAGTCTTGTGTTTTATGACCTGACATTGTTTTTGTTTTTAATGACAGGGTTGGGAGAGGGGTCACCACAACCTTTGTAACACTTAGGGTCCCTACAACACCTAAACACACCCAAGATAGAGGTGAGTACTTAGAAGAGACTGTTGGAGGGTGAAGGGAGAGGTCAAGATCATGGCAAAAAGAGCTCAATGTCCCATCCACAGTGAAGGTTGATAGTAATTAAATCCTGAAACCTAATTTTGGTCACAAAATCCAGTGGTATACCTGATTGCAGCCTCTTGCAAATGATTATAGATTTTGCACAAAGACTGAGGCGTTTTTCTGTTTGTTTGTTTGTTTGTTTGTTTGTTTGTTTTTTGAGACAAAGTCTTACTCTATCTCTTAGGCGGGAGTGCAGCGGCAATCTCAGCTCACTGCAACCTCCGCCTCCTGGGTTTAAGAGATCCTCTTACCTCAGCCTCCCGAGTAGCTGGGACTACAGGAGTGTGCCACCACGCTGGGTTAATTTTTTTTTTTTTTTTTTTTTGTATTTTTAGTAGAGACAGAGTTTCACCATGTTGGCCAGGCTGGTCTTGAACTCCTTACCTCAGGTAATCTGCCAGCCTCAGCCTCCCAAAGTGGTGGGATTACAGGCATAAGCCACCACACCCAGCCAAGACTGAGACTTCTGACCTCTACCCATGACTCCTGCCCACACCCACAGCCCAGAATTTTCCAGCATGGCAGCCCTCACCTAAGGCCTCTTGGCCCCTTTGTCTCTGCCTGGTCCATGGCTGCGGAAAAGGCCGGCAGCCAGAGCACGAGGTATCTTCGTGCAAGATGTTTAGCTTTCTGTTTGTGCCTGAGGTGCATGGGGAGGGTGGGTGACACACTCAGTCCTCCTGCTCACGGCCAAGGGATATACCCTTTTCTTGTTCTTTTTTTTTTTTTTTTTTTTTTTTTGAGACTGAGTTTTGCTCTTGTTGCCCAGGCTGGAACACAATGGTGCGATCTTGGCTCACAGCAATCTCCGCCTCCCAGGTTCAGGCAATTCTCCTGCCTCAGACTCCTAAGTAGCTGGGATTACAGGCATGCGCCACCATGCCCAGTTAATTTTTTGTATTTGTAGTACAGACTGGGTTTCACCATGTTGGCCAGGCTGGTCTCGAACTCCTGACCTCAGGTGATCCACCTGCCTCAGCCTCCCAAACTGCTGGGATTACAGGGGTGAGCCACCGTGCCCGGCCCTTTGCTTGTTCTTAACTTCTGAGAGTCACACTAAGAAGTCACACTATCCTCTAACTTCTGAGAGTCACACTAAGAAGTCAGAAGACTGGTCCAAGTCCCTACAGCTCTGCCACTCCCAAGCTGTGTGACCTGGGAGGATATTTTTAACCTCTCTGGGCTGTGGGTTCCTCATCTGCAAAACCACAATAATAATCATCCTATTTTATAGGAAAGTTATATGAGATCATATAATTTGAAGTGTTAGAACCAACCCTGACCCCATAACAAGAATTCTATCATTGCTATACATTTCATTATAAGTGCCTCGTGGAGTTGTAGGGAGAAGGTGAAGAACATGCTTTGCGTGATAAACAATGTCCATGTTATACATGCACTATTATTGTTCTCATTATTAATTGTCATTTATTACCATTTTTAGTTCCTTAGATTACTTGAGGTCAGAAAACAGAAAAGACAAAGGGGGCTCCTGCCAAAGGACCCATTTTGGCAGCATTCCAAAAGGTCTTGAATTTCTGAGACTCTCTAGGGATGATATTGAAGTGACTGTCCACAGGACTCAATGGTCCAAATGATTCCAGATTGTTGCTCTGTTCCCATCCTCAGTCAGGGTCCCACCACAGACACTGGAAATATAAGTTGGGACAGGGAGATGTGGTCCTGATCCCTTAAAGAGATCACAAACCTGCATCAGGAAACAACAAAAAGCAAAACAAGGCCAGGTGCCATGGCTCCTGTAATCCCAGTACTTTGGGAGGCTGAAGAGGGCGGATCACCTGAGGTCAGAAATTCGAGACCAGCCTCACCAATCTGGAGAAACTCTGTCTCTACTAAAAATACAAAATTAGCCGGGCGTGGTGGTCCATGCCTGTACTCTCAGTTACTCGGGAGGCCTCCCAGCATTTTGCGAGACCGAGGCGGACGGATCACCTGAGTTTGGGAGTTTGAAACCGGCCTGACCAATCTGGAGAAACTCCGTCTCTACCAAAAATACAAAATTAGCTGAGTGTGGTGGTGCATGCCTGTAATCCCAGCTACTCGGGATGCTGAGGCAGGAGAATCGCTTGAACCCGGGAGGCGGAGGTTGCAGTGAGCCAAAATCGAGCCATTTTACTCCAGCCTGGGCAACAAGAGTGAAACTCTGTCTCAAAAAAAAAAAAAAAAAGCAAAACAAGAGAAAAAGGAGAATGTCATGTCTGCAGCCAACTATGAAAGGAAATGTAAAATAAAAAGGCCACACATCCAGAAGAGCCACCTGACATATAAAACTCATAGCAAAGGCAGCCAGCAGCAGGCCTGACGCTGTGTCTCCAGAGAACCTGGACCGGCAGTTATCCAAGGTCTTCCATGTCCCCCAGATAATCTGCCGATGGTCTGCCCAAATGCAGGGCCACTCACACAAACAGGAGGAAAGAACAGGGCGTCTTATAGTCCAGGAGATGGCTTGACGAAGCTGCCAGAGAAACGTGTCCATCTCGGGCAGGCAGAAGGCCCAGGCATAGCAAACACAGGCTCCAGAACCCAGCCAGAGTGCCTGCCTACCGCTCAGGAGGCGGAAAAAAAAAAAAAGTAAAGAACAGGGAGTTGATTTGATGTAGACAGTGAGAATTCACCAGGTTTTTAGACCAGCAAACATATAAACTAGTGGGGATCAGATATGTCAGAACAGAGGGGAGAACACCCCCTTTCCAGTGCAGAAAAGCTCCAGCCACAGAAACATATAGCATGGAGGTGGGGGGAGCGGGGGGCGGGGGCAGGTGTTTAAGACAGAGGAAAAGGAAAGCTAATCAGAAACAAAACAAAACAAAACAAAACAAAAATGGACTTCTATTTTTCAAGAGAAGCCGTTTATGCAAAAATTCTGCACTCAAGGTAGATAAGGCAACAAGAATAAGCCACTCTTAAACAGGCAAAACAACATAACCAGTTAACAAATCCCCTCTGGGAATTCAAAGGGTACAGCATATACCCCACAGTGGAGCCGCCCAGCCTTTCCATCGTCATACCCCTAAGTGGAATTCCAGTTGGGCCCTCGTGCCGAAGTTTTAGACCACGAGGCACGTCCTCACCTCCAAGATGTAACTCATCTCAAATAATGGAGACCAGGCCACGAGGTTTCTCCCAGACATGGATTCTGTATTAGTCCTTCTGCAGCTTCCAGGAAGGTTTTCCTCCTAATAAATCCGTCAGAAAGTTCCACTCAGGGTTCTGAGGATTGATGCAACCCCCTTCTTGACTGATCAGAGCTTTAGAAAGATTCGCTATGACCGCAGGACTATGTCAAGTTGAACAAGTCTCAACTTGTCGCTGCCAGTATGCAAAATAGGTCTGAAACATCTTTTAACAGACAACACAGCAGACACAGTCCCTGCATCCTCAGGGCCTCCGCCCACCCACCACACACAAACACATTTCTCTAGGGTTTTTTGCTTTTGTTTTGTTTTGTTTTTTGTTTGTTTTTTTCCGGCAAGGGAATAGCCCCAGTAGCCAGGATTCACAGTGGTGGAGTGGGCGAGAGCCAGGTTAACAGCCTGTCTCTGGAAAACCTAAGACCAGAAAGGAAACACCAAAACCTCATCCCCTCATCTCTAAACCCTTGCATGTGATTTCTTCTCTTCTCTAATGTTCTAGAAGGGCCTAAAGTCAGGAGCTTAGGTGAACAGAAGAATCTTCGATGCCTGCAAACCATTAGAAAAATGCATGAGGCATCCACACAGACACATGCAGCTTCATGGCTGTGCTTCCTGAAAGTCTACACCCAGAACCACAAACACTGGCATAAATAAGAGCACGTTAGCAAGAGAAGGCAAACCTAATTAAATTAATAGCCCAGCCGAGAAGAATTACCATGATGAGGTTTTAGGAGCACCCAACAAACCCTCACATGCGATGCAAAAGCAGAGAAAGTCTCAAAACACGGAGTTACTGAGTTTTTGGAAATCACCTTCGCCCAGCCTGAGCGGGGGTGGGAGGAAGGGGGGAGTGATGGTCAAAGGATGGAGGGATGATTACACATACACAGACCTCTAGTTTCGCCCGAGGGGCCTCCAAACCACATCGTGGCCCCAAATCTGTTCTGAATGCAGAGAGGTCTATTTTTAGAGATTAGTTAATATGCCTTTGATCAAGTTCATAAATCCAGAATTGCCTCTATGCACCGGCCATCCGGTGTCATCCCCCTCCCCTCCCCCTCCCCAAACGCCCAAACCCGCCGCCAGTCTTGAGGCTGATGATGAGGACAGTGCACACCTAGCACACACGCACTGGATTCCGAAAGCCCCTTTCCTCCCTCCGACTACTCACAGCGCATCCCTTCCCAAGGCCAAGGCTCGAGAGTTTCCAGAAACGCAGGGGACAAAATTGGAACTTACTGGAGGGCAGATCTGGCCGTGTCTCCACAGGTCACAGGGTCCGCCAACATCCTTTCAGCAAGGAAATCCACGGGAAGGTGCGGGGGGTCCCAAGGCACATCCTTGCTCGCAGCTCCTCGTCGCCCCTCCTCGTCCCGGCCTCCCGGCCGCGAGGCTGGGGAAACTGAGGCCCTCTGAGGACACTGGGCGCTGGCCTGGAACCCGCAGCCAAGGCGGGACAGGGCTTTGAACCCAGAACCCCGTCAGCGACCCTCCCCACT